CCCCTGCCCTTCCTCCTCCGTCCCTATCACCATCACCATGACCCTCACAATCACCATCATCGCCATCCCCAGCATCACCATCAGCATTACCATCATCACCATGAACGTCACCATCGCACTCGTCATCACCATGATCACCACATATGTCGCCACCACCAAACCCCACCATCATCAGCGCAGCTCCTCCTCGTCCTCCGAACCCTCGTCGCTCCCATCCTCGTGCTCGCGATCGTCATCACCATGGACCAGCAGCAGCAGCAGCACCCTCGCCATGATCCTCGCCACCGGCAGGATCAGCAGCAGCAGCAGCAGCAGCAGCAGAATCGTCGTCGTCGTCGTCGTCGTCGTCGTCGTCGTCGTCGTCGTCGTCGTCGTCGTCGTCGTAAGCATCATCGTGCTCCTCAGCCTGCGGCGCGCGCGCAGAGGGCCTGCCGCCGCCGCGGCTGCGCCCGCGGCGCCGCCGGGGGCCTCGGCGGCGTCGGCTCCTCGGGCGCACGGGCCGCGGCTCGGCAGCGGGCCGCGCGGCGGCCCGCCGGCCGGGCCCGGCACGGCGAGGCCCCGGGGGCGCCCCTCTCCGCTCCAGGAGGCCCCAGTGCCCGCCGTGGCCGTCGCCGCCGTCGCCGTCCCCGATGTCCTCCTCCTCCTCCTCCTCCTCCACCTCTTCTCCTCCTCCATCCTCCTCCACCTCCACCTCCTCCTCCTCCTCCTCCTCCTCCTCCTCCTGCTGCTCCTCCTCCTCCTCCTCCTCCGCCTCCATTCCTGCTCCCTATAGATAACTCCTTCCTGTCGCACCCCGAGGCCAGTTTTTTGACGGCGGGCCGGGCGTTTCGCTTGAGACTTCCTCACCATTTAAGACTCTGAAGCTAAAGAAGTGCCAACACCTTCACATGTAATTAGAGGGCGGGTGGTTTTCAATATGTGGCTCGCGCCTTAGCGCCGCGCGCATTCGCTTTTAAACATGTTCAAGAGCTTCACGGATTGGGGGCGGGTGGTTTTCAAAATGTGGCTCATGTGGCTCTCGCCTTCGCGCCACGCACAGTTGCTTTAACGATTTGCATGAGCTTCACAGATTGAGGGCGGGTCGTTTTCAAGATGTGGCTCTCGCCTTAGCGCCGCGCACATTCGCTTTAGAATTTTGCATGAGCTTCACGGAATGAGGGCGGGTCGTTGTCAAGATGAGGCTCGCTTCTTAGCGCCGCGCACATTCGCTCTAGAAACTTGGGCGGCTCCTTTTCAAGATGTGGCTCGCGCCGTAGCGCCGCGCACAGTCGCTTCAGAAATGTGCAAGAGCTTCACAGATTGAGGGCGGGTCGTTTTCAAGATGTGGCTCTCGTCTTAGCGACGCGCACAGTCGTTTTAAACATTTGCAAACGTGTCACGGATTCCCATAATCAACGAACCAGAAACGGTGTTTTGAGAGGATTCAGGATTACGCGGGTGCAGCAATTATGTTGGTTCGCGGTGTTGAAGTCCCCAAAATGGCGCTCTGGCACGATTCCAGATCGTCAAGACGCAGCAGTCATGTTGACACGTGGCGCTGAAATCCCGAGAATCATGGTTTGGCATGCTTCAGGATCTTCAGACGGTTGTCTTCCAACGAGGCAGTTCCCTCAATGGAAATGAACCGTTGTGGGGGCCTATGAAGAGGGAGGGAGGGTGAATACCACCATCGTTGATGACTCTTGGCTTTACACTGGTCCTTCTCCTCCTCCTCCTCCTGCACCTCCTGCGCCTCCTCCTACACCTCCTCCTCCTGCTCCTCCTCATCCTCCTGCACCTTCTTGTCCTCCTCCCTCCCCATCCCTCTCCTCGTCATCTGTCCTTCTTCTCCTCGTCCTCATCTCTCTCCTCCCCATCCCCCATCCTCGTTCCTCGAACTATCCTGCATTATCGTTTACATCGTCATCATCATCATCAGCAGCAGCATCATCATCATCATCCTACTCCTCATCATCATCGTCATCAGCATCCTCATCCTCATCCTCATCATTGTCCTCATCCTCATCCTCATCCTCATCATCAGCATCATCCACAGTAGCATCATCATCATGATCATCACTATCAGCATCATCATCATAGTATTAATTTTCGTCCCAGCAACATCATCATCAACTGGCCACCCCCTTTTCAATATGTCCCGCAAAGGTAGCTATCCGATTAATCACATCGGTAGCGCCTCGCTTCCCCTGAGTAGAAGGAGCTGTTACATTCTCAATCGCATCGGGACTATTGACACTATGTTTATGACCCGCACTCTCGGTGTTGCCATCCTCCTCGTCCCAAGAGGTTAAAATCACTGGTCGTCCTTCGGCTTCGTCGAAGTTTTGACGTTCTCGCTTGTTGTGTTTCCCGACGCTCCCGACGCTCCCAGGCGGCAGCAAGGCCCCCCAAAGATCGCCCCAAGATCGCCTCCAAGAGGCCTCCGAGAGGGCCCCAAAACGGCCAAAAGAGGGTGCCGAAACGGCCCACGAGGCGCCCAAGGGCTCCCAGAGGGGGCCCAGATGGAGCGCCCGAAAAACATTTCGAGCCCAAGGGTCCCGAGGGCCCCCCAGGAGGCCTCAAGAGGCCCCCAAGAAGCTCCCAAGAGGCCCCTAAGATGCCCCAAGAGGCCCCCAGAGAGGCCCCCAAAGAGGCCCCCCGGAGGCTCCCAAGAGGCCCCCGAGAGGCCCCAAGACTGCCCCCAAGAGGCCCCCGAGAGCGCCCCAAAGAGACCCCAAGAGGCATCCCTAAGAACTCTGACCCACACCCCAGGCACAGTGGCGGGATATGTTCTAAGACGCATAACAGATGCCGCACATATCAATATTAGTAGGTGCATTTTGGTACTGATGCTGGATCGGGCAAAAGCCGCTGACTGGATTAAGCCGGAAGTCATGCGCAAAGCCCTACGACGATTTGGCCTTCCCAGCGACATCGTGACCAAGCTCTACGGAGAGGAGACAAACCGCTGGGATCGCGCAGGGGTGTCCGCTGCCTCCGTTTTTTTTCCATCGCAGTGCAGACGGTCATGCTGCACGACGCGATCGACTACTTATCTCTTGTAGCTGAACCTGGATTTGTGGTAACCCGCGCTATCCGATATGCGGACAAGACATTGCTAGTACCGCAGTGCGAAGCGAACCTGCAAGCCATGCTGAACGTAATCGCGGAAGAAGGGCACCAGTATGGCTTGCAGCTCAACTGGAGGGTAAACAATCCAAATGCAGATTTCCACAAATTAAAGACAGCGCGAGACTCAACATGCTGAGGAGGCTTGATTTCATGTGATGTGGGAGCTACAACTGAAGTGTCCAGAAGATTGGGAGAAGCAGCTAGTACATTCAAACAACTCGATCGACTTGGATCACGGTCGTCTCTTGGATGGAGACGAAAAACAAATATGTGTCAGCATGGTCCTGAGCAAGGTCATATTTTCCTTGGATCCTCTATGGTTGCCAAGAGCGGATCGTGCTCGTCTGGACGCCTTCCCCTGCAAGAGTCTGAGGCGTGTTTAGGCATCCCATGGGCTGACATGTCCAGAGTGAGTAATGCGAGCGTGTTGCAGAAGGCCTCAGCGAAACCGCTGTCGCAAATGCTTCTTTATAGCCGGAAGAAACTTACAACAAAATGGCTACGTATGACGCAAGCTCGTTTGTACAGCGCTTACTTTTAACGACAGCGGGATTATTAGAGCTTGGTCTGCGCGCCGCAAGAGGGGCCGGCCCTGGCCGCAGTGGGCTTTGTCAGTGCACTCGCTTACCTAACAGTTGTAGTTTGTATAGCCGAGACCTTGTCTGTCCATGGCTTCTGCGTGCTATTTCCTCCGTGGTCCCCCTCCCTCCCTCCCACCTCGTCCCTCCTTCCTGTGCTCCAAGCTTGCGAGCAGTTCAGCTTGTGTTTAACAATCGGGTGCTGTGGCTTCCGCTTCACAGTCGTGGAGCGCTCGCGCGCCGTCGTCCTTGTTGCATTTCCCGAAGAGTTGCCAATTACGCACTCTTCTGCCCACGCGACCTGCTGGATGCTCGGCTCAGTAGTGGTGGAACGCTTGTGTCTGCTCGGCGTGGTAGTCCCGGTGCTGCGTGGGCCTCATTTGAGAGTCGGCACCTTGCTCCCGTCGCGGCGTCCTCGCCCCAGCGCGGACCACACTTCTGGAGCCGAGGACTCTCCTCGTCATGATCGCCCCCGTTCTTTCCCACTTCTCCGCCCTCTCTTGGTCCACCTGCCCCCCCTGCCCTGCTCCTGCTCCTGCTCCTGCTCCTGCTGCTGCCGTTCCTCCTCCTCCTCTCCTCCTCCTGCTCCTCCTCCGCCTCCTCCTTCTCCTCCTCCTCCTTCTCCTCCTCTTCCCCCTGACATGTGTGGGCAGCTCCCCTTTTGTGATCACGCAAAACACGATGGACTGACTTTGGGGGGGTCCAGGTCTGCTATGACACCCGAGGGCGGATAGAGAAACAAAACAACCAGCGAAATGGGAAGGGATGGGCGGGGAGGACGATGCCAAGCTTGCCATACTCCATCCTCCTACACCATCCTCCTACCCCATCCTCCTACCCCGTGCCGCGAGCGCGCCTAGCTTGCCCTACCGCATCCTCCTACCCCTCATTGTGCATAATGCTCCTGCTCCTGCTCCTGCTCCTCCTCCTCCTTCTCACCCTCCTCCTCCTCCTCCTCTTCTCCTCCTCCTCTTCCTCCTCCTCCTCCTCCTCCTCCTCCTCCTCCTCCTCCTCCTCCTCCTCCCGCTCCTCCTCCCGCTCCCCTCCTCCTCCTCCTCCTCCTCCTCCTCCTCCCTCCTCCTCCTCCTCCTCCTCCAGCTCCTTCTCCTGCTCCTCCTCCTCCTCCTCCTCCTCCCCTCCTCCTCCTCCTCCTCCTCCTCCTCCTCACCCGACCCCGTTGGCTCCAACCCTGGCCTCCACAGCCCACGCCAGAACCCTCCCCCCCAGGCAGCGCAGAGGCTGCCGCCCCCACACCCCCGCGATCGCGCGCGGCGCGCGCGCGCGCGCGAGCCCCTTTTGGTCCATCTCCGCCCCGGCGCCACGCGGCGTAGGCCGCCCGGCCCCCGTCGGTCCGCAACAGGCCCGGGTCGCAGCGCCCCTCGTAGAGCATGCAGCAGAGGTCGTTGAAGGCGACGGCCTCGCAGCCAGGGGCCTCGTCGCACCTCGGCGCGCGCCGGAGGGCGGCTGCCGCGCGGCGCCGCTGCGGGGGGGCGACCCCGCGGCCGCCGCGAGAGCCCCGACACGATAATTATCCCAACCGCCGCAGGTGCCCTGCGGCGCCGACGGGGGTGCCGACGGCAGCCGCGCCTTCCAGCCCCGAGCGGCCCCGGCTGGTCATAAGCAGGAGCATGCCCAGACCCCCCCTCAAAAATCATCACGGCGGGAGGTTTGTCGCACTTTTCGGCCTCCGTGTGGGAACGTCAGAAAACGACTCGGGATGAAACACCGGTCCCGGGGAAGGGGTCCAGACCTCTGGGGTCGACGTTGTGAAAAAAATCACGTCAGGGGTCTGGGGGGGCTCTCCTGGTGACCTGGTCTTCTTGACGGGGTGTCCTGTGTGTGCCTTCTCGGGACCCTCTTGGGCTGGCGTGTGGCCGAATTGGGCCATCTTCGTGGCCGTCCGGTGGGCCTTCTGGGATTGTTCGGGACTTTTTGGGATGGTCGTGGGGGGCCCTCTGGAGGCCATCTTGGGGACCTTTAGGCTCCACTGCCCTCCTGTCTGCGCTTCGACTGTGTCTTGGGTTCTCGCGCCGGGGGCACGCGGTGCAATCGTACCGGTCTTCCCAAGGAGAACACACGTACGAAACCGTTCACTCTTGGTCCATACTGTCGACCCGTATAAGAAGGACGCACGATAAAGATGCAAGGGCCTCGGACGGCCATGTATGTCGACACTTTGCCAGCGGGGCGCGGCCAGCGAAGCGGCCGAGGATGGGCCGCAGGGGAAGAATGCCTAGGGGTAACGTTGGGAAGCTGCCCATCCTTGCTACGTATGCGGGCTGGCTGCAGACCAGCGGGAGCCGGCACCTGCAGGGCGGGCGGGCAGGGACGCCCTGGCAGAGGAAGCTCGAGGCCCCAGCAGCAGGAGCCCGTTGCCAGCTCAGATCGGGCGTTGGCAGAACTTGGTTTAGTGAAACCTGGTTTAGTGATGTGTAATTACCGGGGGAGGCCCCCCCGCCCCGTTCCACTGACCAGAACTGCCGTCACCCGAAAAACACCAGCTACAGCAGACCTGGTTTAGTGATTCTGGCCAATTCAAAGGCCCCGGGGCCTTACTGCTAACCGGGTCCCCTTACCGGGCCGGGCGAAAGGGGGGGATAGCAAAGGGGGGGTGAGAATCAGCTCACGTAGCTGATTTTCCTGGCGCCTCCCGGCGCCGGGAGGCGGCCATGCGTCGAGGAGTGGACCCCTCGGTGGGGCCGAAACCAGCTGCAGGCAGCAGATTTCGTCCCCCCCCCCCTTTCCCCATCCCCCCCGTTCGTCTCCGGCCCGACCTTGCCATGGGGCCCTGCAGCTGTACCCGATCAGGGACGCACGGCACGCCAAGAGGCAGCGGGGGGGGGAGAGGCCAGGCGCTCCAGCCAGCAGCCACCACCGGGAACCCTCCCGCCCTCTGCCTGCCGAGGGGCCGCCGCGGGCCCGGAGCGGGGGCACGAGGCAGGGGAGGCAGGAGGGCGGTGGGGGGCCCGACTCCAATGTCGTCCCCCCTGTTGGCACTCCGTGTTCGTCTCGATTTTAGCTCGAGCGCGACGTTTTCAATTCGTGTTGGGCTGCCGTTTTGTTTCCGTTTTTGTTGCTCGCAACCCCAAAAGTGGAAAACGGAGAAGAACAACAAAACGCCCCCAGCGTTTTGAAGAAAACAAAACTAAAGGACCCGACTACTCAGACGCCCGACTCCGAACCCCTGGATCACACGACGCCCCCCGTCCCACCGTTCCTTCCGTCGCCCTCCACCGACCTCCCGCCAGCTTCCGCCTCCGGACCCGCCTGCCACGTGGCTGCCGCTGGCCACCGTCGAGGGCGAGCTGCGCCGGAGGCAGGGCACTTTCTGGGGCGCCCTTGAGACAACAACGCCCTCGAGCCCTCCTTCGCTCCCCTCCGCCCCTGCTGATTACGTCTCCTCGCCGCGCCTCCCTCCCTCCATCCCCTACCTCGCACGCCTCCCATTGCGCGTCTCCACGCCGTGCGTGCTGCACCGCAAAGCACAGATTTCGCGCGAGACGCGCGCTTCGACTACTACATGCGAGTGCGCGGGGCTTGGCCCTATGGAGTACAGGACCCCATGTGGATTCCGTGGCGGATAGTACAGCAACTGGGACTAAAATGAAGGGGGTGGTGCCAAGGCCAGCCACTGGAACGCCACCTGCGGTCCAACATGCTCCCCGAGACACGTGCGCAGAGGGCGAAGATCGAGGGAACCGCTCCCCGCTCTGCCGTGCCCCGTGTAGATGGCCTGGGGAACACTGTTGCAGAAAATGGCATCTTCGTCCCTCAACAAATGTTGCGTTGACTGCTTCCGGTTCCCTCCGTCGTCCGTCCTTTACTCCCTCCTGCGTGCTGCTTGGTCTTTCGCTCGTCCCTCTCGTGCCGCTCCCTGCACGGCCTGCCCTGCTGGTGGTGCTCTTGCCGTGAAACTTCTCTCCCGCTCTGTTGCTTGCTTCCGCCTTCGTGCCGTCCCCCCCCCTCCCCCTTCTCCAAGAGGAGGGGGGGGATTCCTCCCCCGATTGCTCCTCCTCCAGACTCGTGGCTCCTCGTCCTTGTCCCTTGTCTGTGCCTTCCTCCCTCCCTTCTCCCTCCTCCCCCCTCCCTCCTCCTCCTCCTCCTCTTCCTCCTCTTCCTCTTCCTCCCTCCTCCCTCCTCCCTCCTCCTCCTCCTCCTCCTCCTCCTCCTCCTCCTCCTCCTCCTCCTCCTCCTCCTCCTCCTCCTCCTCCTCCTCCTCCTCCTCCTCCTCCTCCGCGGCGCGCGGCCCAGCCCACCGCGAGGCGCCCCCCCTCCCTCGCGCGGGCCAGCTGGGCGGAAGCGCAGCTGCAGGCACTGCTGCACCTCTCCTGCGGCAGCCGGGCACGGGGCGCGGCGGGGGGCCCGCCGGAGCCCGCTCCGCAGCGGCAGCAGGCAGCAGCAGACTCAGACCCCCCTCGCGCTGTGCACAGCAAGTCGTCACGACGGGGAAGCTTTTCCCTGCTTTCGGCCTCCAGGGGCCCTACCGGGCCTCGGGGCCGTCGAGAAACGAGCCAGGATGAAAGACCGGTCCCGGGGAAGGGGTCCAGACCTCTGGGGGTCGACGCTGTGAAGAAAGCACGACGTCGGGAGTCCGGGGGCCCCTACCTCTTCGCGTCGTGCAGCAACGTTTACGGCGCAGCGCGGCAGAGGCAGTCAGCACGCGCGCTCGAGCGGGCCGGGAGTGGGCAGGCGCGAACTGTGCGGCGGCCACGAGCGGGAGAGGAGGCCGGCGGGCGGCCGCGGGAAGGAACGGGGGGGAGGCAGAGCGCACTCACCGGGCAAGGCGCACCGCGTCGTGACACGAGCACGCAAAGAAAGGCCCAACGCCTGGGGCGCGCTGGGCAGAGGCCGCGCCCAGGATGCTTGGCTGCGGGCCGCGCACCAGGCGTGGGCAGCAGCCTGCGGCAGACCCAGACCTCCTCGCGTCGTCCTCGCCACGGGCCCCAGGCCCGTCGAAGAACAACTCAGGGCGCTGGGGGAGTGGTCTAGACCTCTGGGGATACACGCTGCGAGGACGACATCGGAGGTGTGTGGCAGGCAGCGGCGGAGAGGGGGGGAGGCAAATGGTCTGCTTGAGGAAACTGCTCCGCCTTCCTCGGCAATGCCTATCCTCGTGCCCAGCCGAGCTTGTCTCCTCGCCTGCGCCTGTCTCCATATTCCTGGCCTTCCGTTCCGCTTCCCCATCTTCGTGTTTCGCCGTGTGCTTGTCGCGGCATTCCCTCTGGTGCGCCTCTGATCACGACGGCGTCGTATAGTCGATCGGTCACTGAGATGGGCATTAATGTGAAGGCGAGGCAATCGTATTCCTCCAAGTACTGCTGCAAGTCCTCGAGATGTCTAGGCATCATCAACATCCCTCGCTCCATTGGCACTGCCGTGCGCTCTGGCACTGGTAAGAAAACTTGATGAATCCGAGCATGCATGATAACCGCTTTACCTTACCTCTAGGTCCTTCTGGGGAGCAACTGGTGGTCAGCAATGCGAAGGCCAAAGCTTAGACCAAGAGCCGCTAGGCGCGTTGCTCGCCCCAACCGTCAGAGGCGGCCCTGGGCAGTCGGGCCCGAAAGGTGTTCGTGGCAGGGGGGTTGATCTCGCCTTACAGTACGGGTGTGAGGTTCGCGGAATGCTGTACAATGAGCTCGGCCAGTCTCAGGTGAGCGGTCCCTGTTTTCCCTGCTACGCCTGGAGGGCGATCCCACGTGGTTCGGCACGGCTGCTCTGCCGCAACCGCGTACGCTCGTTCCTGGGCGTCTCTGCGGGAGGCTTGGGAAGTGGCCTTCAGTGGGAGCTGCCCTAGCTGACCGTCGGTTTGTGGGCCCTTGGGGGCCATGCGGTTGTCGTTGGCCCGTCGGGGGTGGGGGATGCATTCGCCGTTGGGGCGATCGACGACCTTGCCCCCCCTTTTCCAATTTCCCTCACCTCGCAAGTGCTTCGCACGAAGGCTCTTCGTGAGTCGACCTGCAGGCTTCTGGAACGAAAGGCGGGGGGCAAGCGCGCCTCGGGGACACCAGGTTATGCCTTGGCATTGTACTGAAGGGCCTTGCGGCCTGCAAGAACAGGGCCCTGGGCAGGGGCTGCCCCAGAGCCGTGGCGTATCGTGGCGTGTGCTATCCCTCTCGTGCTGTGGCAGCAGGCCGCCAGGTCGACGACACGGCGAGGAGGCCGTCCACCGGCTGGCTGCGGAAGTGCAGTGCCTGCGGGTCCGAGGGGCCGGATGCCTGGACCATGCTAGGAGGAAAGGCTCGACGGAGTTAGAGGTCCTGAAGCCGGAGGCCAGTGTGGCAGGCCAGAGCTGCATCGAATCGCACAGTCGGATCGCCAACGAATCGTCCTGGATCTAACCGACATCGGGTCGCCGCGCCTGGCTCCGGCCGGCTCCGGCCATGCCGGGGAATCGATCGGCACTGAATCGAATCGGCATCGTGTCCTCTGCCGGCGAATCGACTCGCATCGGATCGGATCGTAGGCGGCCCTGTGTGGCCCCGTACCTCTGGTGACTGCTGGCGCAGACCACTCGGACAGGAAGAGGCCTTCGGACAGGAGCCTGCACGATAACTGATGCGTCGTCCGGCTTCGCCTTGCGGGAGGACACGGGGCGGGAGCTGGTGGGGGACCTTGTCGCGGGTAGCTCGCGCACGAAGCCCCCCGACGTCGTGATTGTTCACAAAGCCGACCCCCAGAGGTCTGGACCCCTTCCCCGGGACCGGTCTCTCCTCCTGAACCGTTCCTCTGACGGCCCCGAGGCCCCGGCCGAGGCCCCCTGGAGGCCGAAGATAGCGAGAAACCTTTCGTCCCGACTTGTTCCCAAAGCGAGGAGGTCTGGGCACGAAGCCCTCTGTAGCAAAGGCCCGTGTCAAGCGGGGCGGGGCACGGCCAGGCCCCAGGGACGTCCGCTGCGGGCCGCGCTCTGCGGCCCAGACCTCCCGGGCGGCCGAGCCGGGAGCCCCCGCCTCCACGTCTGTGCCTGCCTCAACGTTTGGTCTTCCTCCCTCCTCCTCCTCCTCCTCCTCCTCCTCCTCCTCCTCCTCCTCCTCCTCCTCCTCCTCCTCCTGCTCCTCCTCTTCCTCCCCCTCCTCCTCCTCCTTCTTCTCCTCTCTCCTCTCTCCTCTCTCCTCTCCTCCTCCTCCTTCTCCTCCTCCTCCTCCTCCTCCTCCTCCTCCTCCTCCTCCTCCTCCTCCTCCTCCTCCTCTCCTCCTCCTCCTCCTCCTCCTCCTCCTCCTCCTCCTCCTCCTCCTCCTCCTCCTCCTCCTCCTCCTCCTGCCTCGATCTACGACCATCGGTCCACAATCCACAATTTTGTTCCCTCAACGTTTGCCTCCCTGTGCATATCAAGTCCGACTGCACCAACGTCGCCAAGACGTTGACGCTGTCTGGGCCTGAAAGGTACTCGCACAAGCGAGTGCACTCGAGGCGTTTTTTTTATTCAGCTGTGATCGCTGGCATTGATAAGGCTGGTGCGCACATTGAGTCCGAAGGTTCCCTGGACAGCGAGGAGCTCAGTCGCCGTCTTGGGAACGACTGGGCTGACGGG